TTCAAGTTGACATTAAAGCATTAACAGATATAGGTAGTCCTTGACTTATAACCACAATAGAACTGAAAATTTCTGTTGCTAAGTGAGACAGTTATTAAGTGAGTTTTGCCCCATTTTGTGGCCTTGCGACAGTTATTAAGTGAATTGCTGCAGTTTTAACATAGTAACACGGTTGTTAAGTGAATTTTACTTCCCCATTGACTTTGCTTATCAGAAGGTTGCAAAGGGTGATTACATGACCTTGGGATACTGCAACCATAAATACATGCCAATTATCAAATGTCTGAATTTTGATCATGTAACCATGGGGATGCTGCAAAAATCATAAGTGTGAAAAATGGTCATAAGTCACTTTTTTCATTGTAATTTTGAATAGTCACTAAATAAATGTAAATTACAAAAAATTGTAAGTTGAAAACTACCTATGCTCATGGAATATTATCATCAAGGAGAGACATTATCCAGTATGTTGCTGCAAGCTATATCATTTTTTCCCATTTACCTTTTATTTATTATCTTATCATTTCTTAGCTATTGTTTGTTGATTGTTTAAAGTTACCTGTGACATTGTCATGAGGTCGACCTTCAGAGTTAGTCCTGCCTTACATTTAGGGATAGCTGAGGTTAGTGCCAAAATAACAGGACCAAATGGAAATCAAGGTAAATTGTTCAACCATTGTTCAACCATTATTCCCCTGCTGTTCTTATTTATATTGAATTATATTTCATTTTATATGTCATCTTCTATTATACAGACACTGTCGCCACAATCAAACTGCTATAGAAAAGCTTGTGCTTGTACAGAATAAAAGCAGGGAAGGGTAAAAGGAAAGTATATTTAAATATTAAATATTAGAAATAGGATGTTTTGAACTAGATAGCCAGTTGCTGTTCTAATGACACATTTATTGGTAGTCACTGTCAATAAAGGGTTGCTGGATTTGAAATAGATAATCTTGTGCTTATTAATTGATTAACACATGTAAGAGGATAAAAAAGATTAAAGGAAACACTTTTTGATTATATCAGTGAAAGGTAGAGTAATGACTGCATAAATGCAGTTTTCTTGGCAGTGTTATGCCTTCTGGCTTTCTTCCACAATGTTGTTTTCAACTTCCCAGTTGAAAAAGCTAGTTAAAAGTCCTGGGATTCCCAGACAGTCCTTCATCCATGTTCTAATACCAGGTCTGACTTGGACCAGCTTCTGAGATAAGATCAGCTAACTGCTGCCACCTGTTGAAACATGCCAGTGTTACTTAATGTTTATGAAATGGGATGTAAAAACCAGCTCAAGGAAGTCCTGCAAACTTTCCATCCAAAAAGTGCATTGAAGTCACTTTTAAAATTAGAATTAAAAATAGCAAGAGGGGTAAAAACACACAGTAAAGCTCAAGAGTAGGTAAATTCCCATATATATAAAGCTAATTTAGAATGAAAATGTGTGTAGATTTTTTCTATGACGACATGAAAAGAGCTCTCCCCCCCCCAAAAAAAAATCCCAAAGAAAAGAAGAAAAACCTTATTTTGTGCTCCTTTTGGTCTCTTTCATAAGAACACACCAACTTTTGATAATCACACACCCTTTTCCCATTGAAAACTAAAGATTTCCAACTTTCTAGATAAGAATTCTGGAGGTAATCAAAATTTGTTGTTTCTTGTAAATGGCTTGATTAGGAAATACAAATTCTCTTGCAAAAATGTTCTTGCTAGATAATCATCTAGACTATGGTCCTGTGTTTCCTCAGAAAATATTTTGCTCAAAAAGTGCCTTTGTGGTTTTGGTAGTGAACAGAGAGCAGAATAAGTATAGCTTCCATTATTCGTACTTAGAAAATAGCACAATGTTTTAAATTAAAAGACTTTTGCTGATGCCATGTTCAATGAAAACTTGTTTTCAATGAGATCACTTTATTGACGGGGCCTGCTCTCCCCGTCTCCTGAGTACTACCCTGTCCTATCTTATTCCATCTATTATTAATTTAATATATATCAAAGGGCTAAGTAGTTCTTCCAAAACTTGAAATAGATGAGAATTTGACACAACTATTCAAGACAATGTAAAACAAGAGGAATGGTGTTGCTTTCAGAGTTACAGAGCAAGGGGTGGGGGGTGTTGGTATATGGAGCCAGTGTCTAACTGATTAGATTTCGTGAGTGACCCTTCATTATGATTATTCAGATTGCAGTTTCAACTGTTGATGCAGAAGTAGAGGAAGTTGATGAATTTTAGGATCAATTAAATTGACGGAACATGCAAGCAAAAAGTGTTGACTGGGTTTGGAGGCTAGAATATTAAAGTTGGGAATCATAAGGAGAAGAACATAATTAGACTGTATGGCAAAAAAACAGGACTACAGCAGGAAAATTGTTCATCAATATCTGCTAGTCCATTGATTTCTTCATTGCTAACATAGTCTTCAAACAATAAAAAAAATGATACATATGCACATTCTACCAGATGGAGATACAGAAATCAAATTATATTATTGGTACAAGGAGGTGGAAGAGCTCAGTTCTAAAAGCAACAGCAGTCAGGCCAGGAAGTGACTGTAAAACAGAATATAAAGTGGATGAATGTGAAAAATAATAAAACCAGAATAAAACTAACTAAATGCCACAACCAACAGTAGAATTTGTCGAGAAGCCAAAGCTAAGAATAACGTTTCACTTCTCATCCAAAAATCTTCTTTAACTCTGAAGCTGAAGAAGCTTCTTGGCTGAGAAGTGGAACATCTTCAAAGAAAAACCAGAAAATCCATTTGCCTCTTGAAAAAGCACCTTGGGGACAACCATGACCTGGATGACTGAGAAGCTCCATAGACAACAAAGAAAGATGGAAATGTATAATGAAATTCTGTACAATAGACATGTCAACATTCAACATACCTAAGAAGATGTTTATTAAAAAATTTAGTACTAGGAAATGAAGTTACATCAGTACTTCAAATTCTGGGATGTGGCTATACCTCAAAGAACAGACTTATATGGGCAATGGTTTTCCCAGAGACACTCTGTGGAATGTCACTATAAATTAGCTTTTTTAAATCAGCTTGTATTAGCAAATCCATGGATATGGTAAATAAGTGTTGTTAAAAGACAATATCCCTCAATGGCATAATGACAGACATACTGGATGGCATACCATATGAGCCATATATAGATCCATTTAGATTAAATTCTGGCAACCTTTGAGCAGGCAAAAAAATGTGTGGTCTCCATTATTGATCTATATTCTGTCACAATAAAATATTAGTAGATGGTATTGTCCTTATTTAAAGAGGCGAAGTGAGTTTGTTTTCCATCTCACCAAACACTGGAAAACCTCCACCAATTTCTTTCTCCCTAACATAAGGTAAGTGGGGTGGAGTGGGCATAGAATGATGGATTTAGCTGCCTATTAACTTGCCTGACTAATATATAGTAAGTACTAAGTACTAACTGTGTATTCTTCATAATCACACATGTAAACTCCAGCCTGTTCAGGTGATAATGTAATACTTTTGCATAAGTTCTGAGAGATAATCAAAATTTAAAAACACAGCCATAGGGAATCACTTATTAGTAGAAGCAGTGGAAAACATGCAGTGCAATCAGTGGTGATAGTTTATTGGGCTGTAAAGAGGATGTGGGGCTGGGAAATTATACTCTTAGCCTTGCAAGAGTGATTCAGGCTCCCCCCCCCCTTTTTTTTTTTAATCCCACTGTTCACTTTGCAGCATCTTTTTGTCTAGTCTCCCAAGATTTTTCCCACATGCCATTACAATATGCTAACGGGCTAGGATGCTCTGTGTTTCTCATTTCATATGATATATAATCTTGTCTATAAAATAATGGGAACCTGATCCAAAGTCAAATTTAACTTCAAACTTGAAAAATACAGATATAGAATTTAATTCAATAAACAAACCCTTTCTGGATTACAAATTGATAATGTCCTGCATCTGAAGTTTGGGATTCTCTTCATATAAAGTTTTAAAACTTAAGTTAATTATAATTATTAATTAAAGCAAGAATTTTCAATTAATATGGAAATTAATGCAATATCTTTTCTAGGTTTATAATTTGAAATTCATATACTCGATACTATAATTATTATATAATAATTTTAATATTGATTTAAAGTTTTAAAGTTGAAGTAAGGTTTTCTAATATGTATAGCTGAATCCTTGTTATCTGAAAATATTTTAATTAACAGACAAACAGGTCCTTGGCAGCAACCCAAAAGTCTGATAAAAGGCAATTTAACCCACAGCCGGATTAAGGGCAGGCAAAGGGTTCCTAAAAAGAGGCCCTCCCTAGTTCCTTGAGCTGTAAAGGGAATGGGGAAGAAAGATTTACAAGATTCTAATATAAACTCTGGCAGTCTGGTTTACAGGCTGATACAAGGTGCCTGAAAATTCAATCATATGGACATCTAACTCGTTTTCATAGTGATCACAGTCCTAGTAGTTTTGTCTTTTTGTGTGTTTTGTGTTTGCTTGGGTCAAAATGCAAATTTTAAAGAAATGTTTCAATGTTAATGTCACAGCGCTTCCACCACACATAAATCTCTACTCCCTGCTCCTCCCCCCGAATCGTAAGATCAGTCTGGCGCACGTCAACTGTGTTGATATGCCCACATCGCAGAGGTCTTCAAACACGGCAACTTTAAGACTTGTGGACTGCAACTCCCAGAATTCTCCAGGCAGCACGCCTATGCTGGCTGGAGAATTCTGGGAGTTGAAGTCCACAAGTCTTAAAGTTGCCGTGTTTGGGGACTCCTGCATCGGGATACTGAACTTCCGGTATGGGCGGTAGCAAAGCCATATCTGAGTTTACTAAGACAACGTTCAGCTTAAATTCCCTCAACGCTGTGGTCAGCATCCGTAAGTGGATAGCTCAGTCTTCCAGACATAAAACTAGCCAATCGTCAGTCACCTTTAGGTGAATGTCATAATTTTTAGCCAATGAAAATATTAGCCGCTCTCCTATTCGCCGGAGGAAAAGTTGGGGGCGGGGTTTGTTTAGCTCAATAGGAAACATGGCGGCTGCCGGGGCTGGGAAGGTGGCGGGTGCCGCTGTCGGAGCCGTAGTAAAACCAGTCTTCAGTCGGGATTTGGCTGAAGCCAAACGGCACGTGAGGGAATTATATAGAACTTGGTACCGCGAAATCCCAAATACTGGTGAGGGGCCGTGATTACGCTCGCGATCTCCGCCGTCAAGGTCGTAGGGACAGGAAACATTTACCTTGGTTTGAAAAGGAGCCTCGCAGACCGGAGATGTCTTTATATTTCCTTCACGACTTCTCCGATCTGAATATCACGAAGAGATACTTTCACATTTTCACGGAAATTCCTTAAATGGAATGGGCACTTTAAATCGCCTTGATGACTTATAAAGACGTATAAATAAGTGGGAGAGATAATAACTTGGGATTAGGTTCATAAAGTTGGAAGGACCTAAGAGGTCATCTAGTACAACCCCTTCCATTCTGCAGCATTCACTACACCGCACCATCCCTGATACATAATTATTCAGCCAATATTAATTAATGATATATATGCATATATGATTGCATGCATTTGAGAGAAGGATTCAAGGCCTAAGTATAATTCAAACTCTGCTATTGATATTGAATATTTTGTTTTTCTATTATCTTGCCCCATCTTCTTTGATTGCTAGAATTCATCCGTATTCATTCATCTTTACATTCATTGTGATTGTTGAATATTCAGTGTATTCTGAATGTAGCCTGCAACTCAATGAAACTATATCATGATCAAAAAATAAATGTGTAAATATTAACTGCATGCTAGGATATAGTACAGGACATTTGTTTGCAGAAAAAAAAACACACGTGAAATACTTGTTTCATAAATAGCCACAGAGTGGAAAGAAAAACTTTAAAAATTTAACATGGATTTAGAAGGCCACAAGGGCTTCAAATGTATGCTTGTAAATTGTAGTTCCAAGTTTTGATCAAACTGATCCTCAACATAATTTACTTAAGAATCCCAATTATTAAAAACTGCCTCGTAGTTTAAGATTTTGTATTGTATTACATTACCTCAAATAATACCTAAATATTGCTTCTGCTTAGTAAATGAAAGTAACTCTTCTATATACATATAACAAAAATGAGGTTTTTAAATACCTGTAGACTGTATTGCCACAAGGCATTATCTAGTATAGTATTTCATTTTGACTGTGGAAAATCACTTGTGCACTAATAGCTTGAAAATCACTATACATGGTAAGATCAGAATAATCTTGTATTTTATAATGGTTTCTGATTTTCCTGCAGCTTAAAAGAATTTTCTACTAATTATTTTTTTCACATACTGTATGTCCCATAATTTTCAGTAAAACAGCCTGTAAATGAGTTTCATCAGAGGTGGTGATAATGTTGACAACTGATGTACATGGGATTATTTTTCACTCATGATCATTATTTTGCTTCTGGTCTAGTGCATACATACCAACTGGAGATCACAGTGAAACAGGGGCGTGACAAGGTGCGAGAGCTCTTCATGAAAAATTCCCATGTTACAGACCCCAGAGTCATTGATTTGCTTGTTATTAAGGTAGGACAAATAACACTTGTTCTAAATTCATAGCAGATGTAGTATTAGAGAAGTTATGGTGATAATTATTTCATCTTTTTGTCAATTCTCTGTGAAAATAGAGTGGGAAATTGTAACATACACAAAATACTTATTTGTATCAGTTCTTTTTATCTGAGTTTTCTTCCTTGAATGCTAAACATATTTGGCAATATGTTCTACTAAGCAAGTAACTGTTTCAAAGAGCCAGTTAAGATTCTAGCACAATTGATTTGTAGCAATCCCATACTGGCGTCTCTTAATTGTAGCTTGTCTATACAAGTGCTTAGAAACATGTTGCTTGTCACAGACCAGCTAGCCACTGTAGATGTCAAGTTGCGAGTGTTGAAGTTTCCTAGGTCTCTCTCCTTTTAGAGATAGGGATGACATTTGCTCTCCTCCAATCTTTTGGAACCTCATCAGAAGTTCTCAAAAATTATTGAGAGAAGGTTCTGCCATCCCCTCCATTATTTTCTTCAGTATTCTGAATGTAATACATCTTGGAGCCATCCATTCAATTAAATTAGCCAAATTTTCTCTTTTAAGTCTTTTTGTGTATGCTCCCTCCTTCCCCGCCATTACAATTATGATCATCTATGCCTACACTTCCTTTATGAGAGAAGACAGATTTCTTCACTCATTAACAATTCATAATTTGCTCTTCACAATGGGCGTACATTCTCATCAGCTTCCTTTTATTTCTAATATACCTATAGAAACATTTTCTGTAATCCATCAGAAGCTTTAGTTTTTGTTAAGTTAGAGTGTGGGTGTCAAACTGGCAGCCCGCAGGGGGGATCCATCATGCACTGACCACGCCCACCCAGCTCCACAAGGCAAAAATGTCACCATAGGTCACATGATGCGATCGAGTTTGCTACCTGTTAGTTTTTTCTTGATTGTGCCTTTGATTACCTTCTATTCACCTTTATATTTTCTCCTCCCATTTCTTATATGTGTCCCTTTTTATCTTCAGCATTTTATAAACTCGACTCACATCAGTGGTGGCTTGTTTAGATTTATCTCATTTTTCCTTGTAGGGATTTTTATAATTCCACTTTCAGTGTACGGTTTCATTGAATTTATCAGCTTTCCTAAATACTTTAGCATTCAGTCTCCTTCTGGATAATATGATCACTTTTCCTCATTGTGCCAATCACTTTTACTTCTTCAACCATTTCTCCTTGTTAGTGAGGATTGGGTCCAGGATGTTTCCCCCACCTCCCTTTGTACTTTCTTCCACCTTCTGACAAATGAAGAGGTGAAAAGAATTTATTGGAGTTCTGACTTGGCAGTTAGATTCCCATTGCATATCAGGATAATTGAAATCCCTCATTTATAACTGAAATCTATATCACAGAGGGCCAGGTTATCAGTGGGACTGCATTCTCCTATAACATCTACCCATTGTACTAATCAGATAGCTCCTAATCCCTTCCCTTAAATTTTGTCATCTTGTGGGATATGGGAAGCATGGGTTTTTTATGGCTACCCTGCCTTATGGAACACCTTTCCCCATGCAAACTTTACCCCATTAGCTGAACACCTGGCTCCCCCCCCCCCGCCACCAAAGTGCTGCATGTGAAAGCTTAAATTTGTTACCAGAGTTTTAAAGACTATAGTTTTTAATAGATGTATCTATTACAAGTAGTGTTCAACTTACAGCCACAGTTGAGCCCAAAATTTATGTTGTTAAGTGAGTTATTCCTCCCATTAGCAGTGGGAGAAAGAAAGCAAAGATCAGCTATGGGCAGTAGGAGTAGTGGAGCACAGGGCATCAGGAATATAGGGCAGAGCATAGGGAAACATGGCAGGGCAGCCGAAAAAGCAATACTGGGGGGGATATAGGCAGGTGGGAGGAGTTGAAGCAACCCTTTAGTTGTAAATGTGAGTGGGCTGCCAAGTGCCCAAAATTGGATCATGTGACTGCATGGGAGATGTAATGGATGTAATGTTGAGGACGGGGGGTATTCATCCAGTGCTGTCATAACTAAATGGTTGAGAATGAATGGTTGTTAAGTGAGAACTACCTGTATTGCATGACTCTTTGAAAGAGGGGTCATCTAAATTAAAAAGATCTCTATCTTTTAACCAGGTGGCTCTATAATAGTATCACTTATTTTCTCTTTCTACTCTTATCCAAATGTTTTTAACAATATTTCCACATGGATTCCTGAATTTCCTGTATATATTTGGGACAGTACAACATCCCTACTATTTCTACTGCATCAGTTCCCCTTGAATAACTTGCTGTGGGCCACTTATAAGCAACACTTCGCCATGTTTTGATGTTGTCTATGAATGACATTAGTCTTCCTAAGGTCAGATCCCTTGTTCTCCCAGTTTTATTTCCCATATTCTATATTTAGTATTGAAACATTTTATTAGCGTATCTATTGCAATCTCCTTTGTAGTTCTGCAAAACTCTGCATCTCCTCTTGATGTCCTGCTTCCCACTTTGTGTTGTTTTCTTGGCCCGAGTCCTTGATTGTATATTTGGCTCTGGGCTTTTGCCCCTTTCTCTCCATTTTTGATGAGACCTGTGAGGTTTCTACCAAACATTTTCTTCCAAGTTTTTGTAAGATATATCCCTTCTCCTTCCAAGCATCCTTCATAAAGGGATCATAGATAGAATCCAGAAACTTTAGGTGATACCATGTGCAGAGCCTACTACAGAGTACTAAGACTCACACTAAGTTAAGGGGTCTCTTGCAAGGCAGCAGGCGTGGACCGTCTTTTTTTCTATGAAAAAAGGACAACTTTTCCCCCCAAGATTTACAACAGGCACTACAGGGTGGTAGCATTGAAGAAGGAAAGAGGTATTGCCAGAGGCAAAAATGCAACTTCATACATTCTCCATTTCAGATTCTATAGCACATGTCTTATTTCTTAAAGAGGGCTTTGAAATTAGATGGGCCATGGATTACTTACCCATTCTGATCTTCTCCTGAATATAAACCTGCTGTTGTTTTTTTTTAAAAAAAACAGTTATTACCAATTTTTGATAATTTTGTTCTTAAAACTGATTTGACAGGAATTATTACTTGGCATATTGGTAATTTAAGTAATAATTGTTCTCTTATTCTTGGTATAGGGAAAAATGGAATTCCAAGAAACAATCAATGTGTGGAAACAAAAGACCCATATAATGAGATATTTTCATGAGACAGAAACACCGCAACCCACGGATTTCCTATCCAAGTTCTACATAGGCCACGATCCTTGAACTAAATCATCAATAGAGAATAATGACTCTGTTTTCTGTTCCAAATAAATGCCTGTATGTTAAAACTCTTCAACAAGAAAGTATTCAAGGAGGCATGCATTATTTATATTTATTCTGTATTTGATGCTAATATTTCATCCTTAACTCATTTTGCAAAATCTACTTCACCATAGTTAGGTATGTTGTAGCACTTCAACTGCTAATAATGTCTGAAATATATAACACTGCAATCTAAAAAATAATACTAAATTTCTCTTTAATATATGGTGAGATTATGTTGGATATATATGGAGAAAAGATTTTATTTGTGAGAAAAGGAACCAAATGTAATTCAAAGTATTACATTCTTAGTAGTCTAATGAATTTTTAAATATTTATTTTAGGGGATAAACTACAGTTTTCATGTGTCTATTGTTTCAAAATTGTAGCAATATCCCCAAATTCTAGAATAAAAATCTCACACTCCTTAAATGTTGGCAGCAGAGATGGAGGTTACTAATTACAATTTTAAGAAATTTAGCAATCTATATAATACTTCAATTATACATCCTAATCCTATAAATTTTCTAATGTATTTCAGCTGCATGGAATACAAATAAAAAGCTAGGTAACAAGAAAAATCTTATACAATAGACGTCTAAACTGCTTTCACCAAAATTATAATTAAAACTTTCTCAAAGTTCTATAAAAATGTGTATTTACACTGGCAACTGTTAAATATTATATAGCTGATTCAATTGAATGTTTGTTTGTTTAAATGTTTATTAACATTTGTAGGCCGCCCTTTTCCCTGAGGGGACTCAGGGCGGCTCACATAAAATCAGGGAGGGGAAGTAC